GCAAATTCATTGTGGTCATGGGGTTGGTTGTGGGTGATGCGAACGCCCTGGGCAAAAAATCCAGGGTAGTTGGCAAAGTGGAGTGCGCTGGGTAGAAAACGGCCTTGGCGTAGAATGTTGGAAAGGTTGCCGATGGGGCCTGTGTGGCCTGCGTTGATGTGGGCAACTTCTCGGTGGGTTGATGTGGCGCGGGAAACCGCAGGTGGCTCGGGTGTGGTGGCTTTGGTGTTGAGGAAGGGAAGTGAAATGGCAAAGTATTGGAATTGGTCGTATTGGTGTGTTGTGTCGTTCCACTTTGCGTGGGTGTATTGGCGGAAATCGTTGATCTCCTTGTAGGAGATGTTGCAGTCTGTGAGGATATTGGCAATGTACTGGTGCTGTGGTCTGTTGGGACTGTCGAGTTGGGTGGCGTGAAATTCGAGCCATTCCAGGATTTGGTCTGCAGGTGTAAATGTGTGAAAGTTGGGTGGAGGTCGCCAACGGTTGGTTGGGCGACGAAGGGTGGCTGTGGTGGGAAATTGAGAGGGGTCTGGGTTGGAGTGTTCAGTGTTGGGGCGTAGATCAATGGGTTGTGGTGGCGAGCGGCTGCGGGGTGGCGTGAGGCTGGATGTGTAAGTGGATGTTGAAGGTGACCGCCGTTGCCTGGTTTTGCTGTGGTGTTTGGAATGGTGGTGATGGCGGTGTCGGCGGCGGTGACGGTGGCGTCCTCTGTGGTGATGGTCGGACTTGCGTCTGCTCTTGTGATGGTGGTGGCGACTGCTGTGTGGTGGTTGTGGGGAAGGTGGTTGTGGTGCTGGTGATGCAGTAGTGTCAGGCTTGTCTGATGCTGGGATTGAAGGTCCCGGTGTTGGTGTGGCAGGGACCAGCGAGGGGGATGCTGAATGTTGTGAGACGGTGGCTGGTGTATTTTGGACTAGTAATGGATTGTCCTGGGCAGTCGTGGGGATGGGTTGGATCGGTGGCGCTGGATCCGATGGTGGCTGCTGTTGAAATGGAGGTTGGGTTGGCGTTGAGGCAGTGGTGATTTGTGGAGGTGGTGGTGGGGGTCCCGGTTGGAGTGGATGTTGTGTGACAGGGGGAAAAGCTGTATAGGGTTGCCAAACGCCCTGGGGGATGGCATATTGGGGATCAGTGGATGGAGATTTGGCAATCGCAGTCTGTTGTTGTGTTAGGGAGGGATGTGTCAGTGTAATGGGGGGAGAAGGTTCGGCTGGTGTTGTAGAATGATGTGGTGGTACCAGGTAGGATGGGGGAGGTGCTGCTGTCTGAAACACTGGAGCTGGATGTGTGGGTTGCAGTGGTATGTGAGATGGGGGGACAAAAGTCCAAGTGGATGGTGTGCCGTAGGTCAGTGCGGTAGCAGCAGGGGAGGATAGAACCGGTTGTGGTTGAAATGGTTGTGGGTGAGGGTATGCCGATGGTTGAGTCGTGGGAAAGGTGGGTGCAGTTGATGGCTGCGGCAGCGGCCATGTGGGTTGAGGTTGTGTGGTGGGTAGTGGTGGTGGCGTGGTGTGAGCATAGGGCCACGGAAAATGCATGTCGTGGTCGTAGCTATGGCTCGGCGCGGCGCGGCAGCAAAAGGCAGCGAAAAAATGCCGAGTGGTATTGTCATGTTGTTGTTGAAGATGTCATCTCTGGTGTCAGTGGTGAGTGTGTTGTAAGGTGGTGCTAAATGTGAGCTTGTTGGTAGGTGTGTGTTCATGCATCTCGAATTAAGCTGAAGAGCTCGCATGCCCAACCTTGAGTTCTGTCGATAAAGTAATCGCGGCATGAAAATGGCAAAAACATGAAACAATGAACATGATTTGAAGGAGTGAAAAGATCGATCCGCAAAGCTGATTTCCGATGTATTCTTCAAGAACCGTTTTTTGGCCCGGCGGCCAATGTGGCAGTTGATTCAATGTGGGGTCGGTGCTTTCCTGTGATGTTCCAGTGATCGGTGGAGCGTTGGGTTGTTTGCTTTCCCATGCAAAAAACAGCGCCCCGGTGAAGGGGTTCACACTCAGCACCCGAGTGGGACGGCTGAGCAGGACACACTTCGAACTTGGATTTTCAGTTAATGCAATCTCTCGAGGAAAAGAATGGCTCAAACGGTAAGGTGGAAAGTCAGCGCAATTGTAGATGTTTGAACAAATGGTTGTCAACAAAAGCGCACGGCGGCAAAGCGGCAAATCTGCTGCGAATCTGCGGTGGGAAAACCTGTTTGGGGGTGGTAGCATGAAGAACCATGGAAACAAAGAAACAGCGGCAGGGTGGACCAGTGGAGTCATTGTGTTGAAAGCAGGTACGCCAGACTGATCAGGTCTGGTTTCACTGCCAATTGCAAGCGTCTTCGTTGGCAGGAGACTTGCAATGGCACTCCTGCCCCCTGCTTGTGGAGCGAAGGTGGTGGAAAAACCCTTTGTCCAGGGTGGGACACACACACACAGCCTGTGACTCTGTGACACACCATTTTGACACCCCCGCTTTGTGACACACCTTTATCGACACCAATGATGTTGCAAAGCACTCATACACTTCACTTGGTTAGACACATCATTCCACACCCACAGCCCCTTTGAAGGCAATCATCATGGCATTGACTTTGTGCCACACTTTTCTACCCATGTCCACTTCCAATTTGTTCTTCCAAATCAATCATTCTGACATCCCCTTGGAATAGTAAACCCTAGGCCCTAAATTTAAACATCCTAATTTGCTTTTTCCGAACAAGCAAACCTGTCACCTACCTAACCTACACATAGCCCTGGCTGAGGTCCCGCACGGAAGTGACAACTTACGACTTACGCTGGCCCCAAAACGGTGTCGACCACGACAAAACTCACAGAAACTGACTCTGCCGGATCCCATCTGGTGAGTGAAATGTATACCGGCAGCGGGCACGCTTCCTTGACAAGGAAAAACAACGGCAACTTCAATCTCCGAAAGGGATTTGTAGAGGGGTGCTGTAGCATGGCCTACGGCACACTTCAAGCCTTTTGGCCCTTTTTTCCATTCATGGCCTCCCATTTTCGCAGTCCTGGTCACAGGCTTCGGCTTTGGTAAGTCCACTTTTCCTATGGCCAGTTTTATGCAAAAAGGGTTTTGTGGCTTTAAGCCAATACAGTGCACGGGGAAGTAGCCATACATTTGGCTTCCAAGCACGGGCTAAAACAAAACGGCGCACATGTTCAAAGTGCCAAGGAGCCACACTCTCAGCCGCTTGACCTGCCGATTCATCGGCAGCCTGGTTTATCTCCCAAGCCCATTTGGAACCACCCGTACTCAGGTGTGTCAAGTGACAGATGGGACTTGACCTTAACAACTTCAAGGTTAGGGAGGTCTAGCGTTTGGCCACGAAGTTTGAGGTGGCCATGGGGAAGGGTGGCGGTCTTGAATCCGATTCTCCATTCTTGAATACATACGCAGAGTCCGTGGACAAAAACATGGTCGGAGCTTCGACCTGGGACAAAATTTCAAGTCCATGTACAAAGGCATGTAGTTCAGCCCTGGGCACTGTGTTGGGCCCATCGTCGGTGAGATTGCCAGACATGGCACCAACAACAATCAACTGATTTTGATGGCACTGCCCAACTACAATGCTCCATCCACATTTGCACAAACGCGGATCTTTACCAGAAGGTCCCCCGGAACCATCAGGGCCAACGTAAAGAGGTAGACTAGGATCCAACAAGGAAAAGTCACCGTCCATGACCCCAAAAAAGCACGTACACTGGGATCCGTGACAGGAGGGGCATGGGTCCACCCAAAAGGAACCAAACCTCTTTCCCAAAAGTGTGCCTGACTGTCAAGCGCAAAGCAAGGTGTGCCCAAGCGGCTGGTGCGGTGCCACACTGACTGATGACGTGCTGGCATTCATACAAGATATGCCGTAAAGTGCACAGTGGCGCCCGACACAGCGGGCAACTTCTTAAACGAGAGTTTCCGCTCTGTGGTAGGGCACCCTGCCAAAGCATTTGTAGCGCCGCAGAATCTAAGCCTTCATGTTTTTCAGGATGGCGCGGTGGAAGTGTTTATCTAATCCATCTTGCAAACCTATACCCGAAGGCTGCTTTGACATGAGCTTGCATTCATGCAAGAAAATAGAACGACAAGACTGTGCTTCAAGCGTCAACAAGGTGGGTCGACAAGCAAAGTCAAAGCTCCAACACACCCCGTCCGGGCCAATCCACTGTTCCAGTTGCGGCACTTGCCATCCTTTGGCCACCTTCCAATAATGCTTACAAGCAGTCAGAACACTCCAACTTTGCGCCCACGCACGTCTCAAGGCAACCAACGCCAACGGCATTCATGGGCACTTCATATGGGTCCTGGGGGTTTACCCAGGCCATTTGCCCGCCTACCCCGGCGCGCTCAGAAACCTAGCAGCAACTTGAACCTCTCTTGAGCCTCCTCCCTTGAGCCAAAATGTCTTGAGCCAAAATGGCTACGGAAACATCCTAATATTACACACGTTTGACAATTGCGTTACTTGTAGACCCTGGGTTTCTTGATTAATTCCAAGCAGCGCCTTGTTTATGACGTCATGGTAGATGGCTAGGGTCTAGGATCCAGGCCATTTTGGGATCTACTTGCGATGGGCCTGTTTGCCCAAGACCCGGAAGTCCGTTATGGACCCGATTTCAAACGCCCTACAACTTTCAGTATAGCAAATTGTGCGCAGCCATCTGTGACTCAGAAAATTACAGTAATGCTTTGGAGCGTGCTTGCAAACTGTGTCCTTAAGTGTGAGTACGCTACGCCAATACGCCGTTGTGCGTTCTACGCCGCTACGACGATTCGACACCCTAAAGCCTCAACCCTTGGTGCATCGGTGTATCGGTGCGAACGCCTTTATAGGGACACGCTTTGCAGGGATGCGTTGGCAAGATCAAACTTCAGGCAATACAGCATGAAATAGTTGCATAGCTGGGTACACACTGTCCAGAAACCACTCGCCACTGGAAGTCTCACATGTCCCTCAACCACTCAAATCGACTCTAATGTCCCTTCCACGCGTCCATCGCAGTGTGCGGAGCAAGGCCCCCCAAAGGTCCCACCTGCGGAGACATCTGCAAGGAGGTCTTGCTTCATCGATCATCAGCTGAGCACGGTGCGCTTCAAATTCACAGTCTCTATCTGGGACCTATGCGCAATCTCTTGGGTGTGTGAAAGCCGCCGGTGTTCACTCGGAACGAAATGTAAATGTAGCTGTTCACATGCCGGGCAGACACATGGCACATTGACTTCGCAAACGCGCGTCTCTAGGCTCTTCCCTGGTGGAAAATTGCCTGCAGAGGCTCAAAGAATCCGAATGAACAATATTTTAAAAACTGACCAAACAGAAAGCAGGAAACAAAACGTGTTCTTTGTTGGAAATTGTGTTTTTGTTGTTTCAAGATCTTCAATATGTTTCACAAAAAATGTGGTTGGTTCATGTTGGCTTCACATTCATGCCAAGAACGGTGCCGCAGTCGCTGGCCGTGTGGTTGACATGTCGCCTGTTGCACAGGCGTGTGCAGCAGGAAAAAGGGTAACCCAATGAAAGTGAACAATCTTTACCGATGTGCAAAATTACATGTGTCGCGAATCTTGGCTATTTACAAGTACTGTACATTCTAAACTTGCACATATATGCACCGTCATACACCTTGGACCTTGGCAAATAATCTGAAAACTGGTGACTCTTTGTGGATCCGTGATTTGTTTGAATCTTTGGCCACGGCTTGCGGAAGGTTATTCCTCTCGCGCAGGACACTGAGCAGGGTGCCCAATCCTCATTCCAGCTGTCTCAGAAAGACTCTGTGAGGAATGAATTCATTTCGTATTGGCTGGAATACAAGCAGACCTCTTTGCACGCACGCGGGTGTGCGTGTGTGTCACACTCCGTCTCCAGGAGTTCGTTCCACACCCTTTTTACCCACGAAGAATCGCAGGGGGGGGGGGCGTAGCGTGTTCAGATGACTACGCCCAACGAAGCTAGTCTGAACACGGGATACCAGGATTTGCAATCCTGGCGTACCTGCGCTGACGGAACTTTTGCACAAGCTGTGACTCCACTTTCCCGGTTTTGTTTCCATGGCTGTTTTGCCGCTACTCCCCGCAAACAGGTTTCCCTCAGCCTCTCTCAGCTGCCGCGTTTCTGCAGACAAGTGAACATGTTGTTGAACATTTCAACTGCGCTGACCACTTCACCTTGCGTTTCCCTCATCCCTTTCACTGTGGGTTACGATAACTGCAAACCCTGTGACTAAGTGTGTATCGCCGTGTCTTCCCACTGGGTACACAGTGTGACCCTCTCGCAAGAGAGGCGCTGAAGCCACTTGTGAATCAGATATCGATTTTGCGTTTCCTGCGCTCGTTGGATTATGGTTTTGGCTTGATTTGTTTCACCCGTGAATCAACCGACTTCCCGCCGCCGGGCTTACGGACTGGACGCCGCCGGGCCAACGGACATTATCACAGCTCATGCTGCATTTCAACTTCTCACACTGCATGCCACACGTTTCATACCAGTTGACGCTCTCTACGGAGTTTGATTCTTTTTCAATTTAGAACCACTGGTTACGAACAGAGGCCATTTGGATCCATGACCTCTGACATATTCCACGATATTGCAGCACCGAAAGACCTGCCTCTTGAGCGAGAGAGCGCCGCAAAGCGGCCTACTGTGTGTGTGCGTGCGCGTCGCACTCCGTCTCCAGGAGTTCGTTCCACACCCTTTTTACCCACGAAGAATCGCGGGGGGGCGTAGCGTGTTCAGCTGACTACGCCAAACGAAGCTAGTCTGAACACAGGATACCAGGATTGGCCATCCTGGCGCACCTGCACTGACGGAACTTTTGCGCAAGCTGTGACTCCACTTTCCCGGTTTTGTTTCAATGGCAGTTTTGCACGCTACTCCCCACAAACAGGTTTCCCACAGCCCAGACAAGTGAAATTTTTGTTGAACATTTCAATTGCGCTGACCGCTTCACCTTACGTTTCCCTCATCCCTTTCGCTGTGGATTACGATAACTGCAAACCCTGTGACTGAGTGTGTGCGCGTAACCTGTGGAGTCACAAGGTTCCTTTTGGATTGTTAGGCTTGAATCCTTTTTTAAGCAGGGAACACGCGGCTATCACACAAACGCATGCCAACGAAGCTATGCGTGATAGTGGAAGCCAAGTCTGATCAACCTGGTGTACCTGCTTTTGAAAACCTAAGTATGGCAAAAGCTGTCCAATACGGTGTTTCTGCATTGCGTCTTGCTGCAGCAAAGGGCTAGCGCATCGGCGATTCACCTTGGAACTTTTGTGAGCTTGGGACATGACCTTGTTTTTGGTGTCGTTTGAGGTTCTTGGGTTTACCGTTTTTCACTTACCGCATTTCACTTACCTGCCCTCTTAGGTTTTTTCACTTAGGCTGGCGTGTGGCAATCCGCAACCAAATCAGTACGCAAAATCTTAAGTGTGTCTGGCTTCATGCCAGCCCAGGGTGACCCCGAAGACTGGCCCCTGTGGACCCGTTGAAGGGGGGTTTGTCTTGATCTCCCCTGCCCGGAGATGTACGTGTCCAGAGCGGACAGCAGGAGGCTTATGCCAAAGTTATTTGCCAAGACCTGACGGATTATTGCATTCCAACCTGGCAGCCATTTTGGCGCGCCTTTAGGTGACCACAGCGGTCAGAGCAGCCAGCCATTTTGGCACGGCACAAGGTGACCAGAGCGGTTAAAGCAATTTCAAGGTTGATTGGAACCTGTCGCCACCTCAGGTGCACACACAGCACGTACATTTTCAACAAGGTTTGTGGTTTTTGTCCCCTCCATTTGGTTTCCCTTTTCATCCCTTCCCCTTCGCACACATGTGTTTTCCTCTTTTCTTTCACATCTTCCTGTCTTCATGTTCTGTCATCTCATCCTTTCTTTCGTTTGCGCGCACAGCGGTCCTGGCCTTAGCGCGCACGCGCACTTCTACATACACTTTTAATTAACACAGGTTTCAGGTTTCAGGTCGCCCAGCTCTTGACAATGAGGTGGGGTTCATCGGTTGTCCCTGTGCACTTGGTTTTCTTTTCATTGCGTCCGCACACACCTTTGTCCCGTCTCGTCCTCCTTCTCATGTCTTCATCCTTTTGTCTTTGTTGCGCGCATATTTCCACAACCGTCCTCGCCTTAATTCTTTTTGCCTCCCCTCGGGGAGGCTTGCGTGTGTAACCTTTGGAGTCACAAGGTTCCTGTTGGTTTGTTAAGCTTGAATCCTTTTTAAGCAGGGGGATGCGGCTATCACGCAAACGCATGCCAACGAAGCTATGCGTGATAGTGGAAGCCAAGTCTGATCAACCTGGTGTACCTGCTTTTGAAAACCTAAGTATGGCAAAAGCTGTCCAAAACGTTGTTTCTGCATTCCGTCTTGCTGCAGTAAAGGGCTAGCGCATCGGCGATTCACCTTGGAACTTTTGTGAGCTTGGGACATGACCTTGGTTTTGGTGTCGTTTGAGGTTCTTGGATTTGCCGTTTTTCACTTACCGTATTTCACTTACCTGGCCTCTTAGGTTTTTTCACTTAGGCTGGCGTGTGGCAATCCGCAACCAAATCAGTACGCAAAATCTTAAGTGTGTGTTCGCGCGCGCACGCGCATTCGAATCGCAATCTTTTGACCGTACAATGTTTTAAAAATATATATATATATATATAATACAAGGCTCTCTTAGCCCCCATGAGACAAGAGCCAACAAAAACGTTCGCGCGGTGTTTCTGCAACAAAATACCGGCTATTGACTGCACCTGTGCATCGAAATGCAGCTGGTGGGTCCTCCGCAGCTGTTGGTCCCTGCTTGTAACATCTTGTATATAGCTAGAACTCTGCCAAAAGGCCAGCGCACTCGCCAAACATGCATCTGGCATGCCTTGTAAACCTTGGAACTTTCAGAGGTATGTGGTACTGTGCAATGTTTTTTGCGTCGTCTGCTCAAGGGAATTTGCCCAACATGTGCAATGTTAAGGCGACCATTCATTCTGAGTCTTAGTTTGCTTAGGAATCGAAGCCTGACGCGACTCTGTGAGTTGGGCAGGCATACACCCTGCGCGTTCCCATTGATGCGTCGGATTTTGTTCGCCGGCCTTCTGATCGGGCCCTGCCGCACCCTGGAGCCCTTCGGTGCATTCATACGCTGGATCCTTGAACAAGCCAAAAACTGTCCCCAGCGTTGGCGCACGAGGAACCCTGAGTTTGCTCTATTGAAATGGAGGACAATGCCCAAAGCGATTCGATGCGATTCGCAAACATGCTTCCAGCAAACAAGCAGCACTGTAGCACACAAGAAAACCAGGAGCGAACCAGCAGCACAGCAGCAGCAAAAGCAGGAGCAAACCAGCAGCGCAACAGCGGCATGCATTGCGGAAGTCGAGCTTTAAGACCGTAACGGCGCAGTGGTTTCTTGATTCCTGATCAGGTTTGCAGCGGCCGAGCAAGCAATCTTATACGCAAAGCCGCCACGGATCCTGAGGAACCCTGAGCTTCCCATAAATGTTGTTCGTGTTTGTTCTATTGAGCTGGACTTAACATTTTGTGAGTTGGCCCGCTCCCAGCCCGATTTGACGGCGGACGGTTCCATGATCCAAGAATTCTGGAAGCGCATGGATGTAACTATGTATACTAGGGTGAGATGACTTAGGCCAATTGGGTCGAAATGACATACAACTTTCCCAGGGCAAGTCCTAAGTCATGTACAAATGTAAAATTTGCAATTTCATTGGCACACACTCATGACATAGGCCTTGTTGACCTGGTCCTGAGTTTGTTTTTTTTTTTTTTTTCGGGGGGGGGGG